AATTAGTCTGTCGTCATAAATCAGAAATCGAGAAGTAGTACAAAGAGAATGATTAAAATCATATCTCATACGATATCTAGAATGGAGGAATATATGATCCCTTATCTAAGGACACGCGTATCTGATAGGATCAGAGTTGACAGCGGCTTTGGAAAGCTACGATTGCAGATCAGGATCTGAAGTCATACGCATAATAGTTATTAGACTTATCCAAGTGGGAGACTGTTGGATTAGTGTCTAAGTCCATAACTATTTTGGTATGTACTTGACCCGATGGTGCATGGTCCTTTTGGGTTGCCTTCACCAAAGCAACTTGATTGGAGAAATAAATAAAGAGAGAGAGGTTATTATGATTTATTAATATGTTATAAGAATAATATATTAAAGGAGAAATCATATTTGTTTAATTAATATTGGTCAATAATTAATTAGGAATTAATTTTGTGATCAAGTGTAATTAATTAAACTAGAGGGGCTGATTTGTAATTATGTGATAGTTACAAAATAAGGTAAGGATTATCTTAAATATAGGTGAACGAATTTAAGGTGATAAGGCCTTAGAATTCGACTATGATAAGGATTCAAGGATTATCTTATGGGTTGTTTTGTGGATAAGCAACTAGATAAGGATAATGACTGAAACCCTATCTCTACACCTATATAAACACCCCTTGGCTCATGAATTCGTGTATCCCTTCCCAAGAAGTCCTAAGGACGAATTCTAACCTCTATCCTCTCTCTTTATACCTTCTCCATTTGCTCTTGGTGTTTGTAAGCCATTAGAGGAGTGACACTTGTGACTCTAAGCATTCCAAAGTCAATTCAAGGTGGAATTGGGATTGTTATTGCTACATAACAATCATGGTAATATCTTAAACCTAATTATATGTTAATATTGATTTCCATATGCTAGAATTAGGGTTTATAGTCTTGGATTCAAAGCATGTACAATAGAGAAACCTAGATCCAAGCATTAGGGTTTGTATGAGCACATAGGATGTCTTATAACCAAAACCCATCAGTTTTTTGGTTGATACAATAATTTATGCTAGGCTTTTAGTATTTTTTAAAAATGAAAACTTTTATCTACTTTATATGACTACACATTCCGGAGTCCAAACTCTACTAACCCCAGACAACTCCGAAACAAACATTACTACTCCTAGTTGGTCTAATTCTAGAATGCATACTTTATATGGCTACATATTCAGGTGGTCATATTTCCAAATTTGAAATAAACTGGTTATTTTTATTAAATCACTCATATATAATGGTTAGTTTACTTAATTTTTCTATAAAAATGTGCTAATTGGGTTACATATTTATCTATTAACCCATACTAAAATATTTATATATCTTTTAGAAATATATAGGGAAATCTCCGGAAAAGTCTCAATATTTTCCCTAATTTATGAAAAAATCCCAAACTAAAATTGGTTTATGAAAAAGTCTCAAAAAACCGGTAAAAATGACGATTTGGTTCTATTTTCCCGGTTTACCGGTTTCATTATTTATCCGGAAACATTAAAGTTCCATTATTTTACCATAATTTTCATTAAAGTCCTATTATTTTACCATAATTTGGGACTTATTCGTAAATTATGGTAAAATAATGGGACTTTATTGAAACCGATTAAGTAATGAAACCGGTAAACCGGAAAAATGAGGGCAAATCGTCATTTTTACCGGTAATTAGGACTTTTTCATAAACAAATTTTAGTTTGAGATTTTTTCATAAATTAAGGTAAAATATTGAAACTTTTCTGGAGATTTTCCAAATATATATATTTTAGATAAAAAGTAATTGGTGGTGATTATATTTTCTAATTAGTAATACTAAACTAAGCATACTCATGCATGCGTATTGTTTTAGGGTCTATTTTTGTCCGACTCTGTTTTGTTTTTAACCAATAATTAAAACTTTCTGGTTTTACTAATCAAAGGTTAAGTATGAGCAATTGGTTCTGTCGTTATATACTTATCTTCATCATAAATAACAATTATCCCTTATTTATATATTTTTAGATTTTAGTACGACAAAGAAAATTGATATGTCACTATATGGAAATCTTAAAAAGCAATCTAAATTATACTTGAAGACATCAATTGTACTATTTTAATCAAGTGGCTCCATCATTCAATAACGTGTCTAAAAGCGCAATTTAAACGATGGAATGACCAAATATTTGCAGATGAACAATTCATATTTTCTTTCTCAAGAATAGCAACGTCACAACGACTACACAAGTGGAAATCGGACGTACAACTAGTAGTGTTGGCAATTGTTGTAGTTATATAGTTTAGTCCTTTTTTGTATATAATTTATTAGGTTATAACCCGTGGAACCACGATTAGTATATTTAAAATTTCTATATACATAAAAATAATGTAAAAAAAAAACCAAGATATTGTTGATCGTAAGTAATTACGAATTAATTTGTTAAGCAAAATAAATGTAATAATGTTATTAGGATATGATTTTGTATTTTCAAAATTTGGATTAAATTTGATTTGTTAAAAAAAAATAATAATATAATAATTAAAATCATAGAAAACTACCACATGTCAAAGAGACATTCTAAAAAACTGACACGTGTTATTTTTAGGTTTCATTTATTAGTAGAGGTAGATGAGTCAATTATCTTTTATATATATATATATATATATATATATATATATATATATATATATATATATATATATATATATATATATATATATATATATAAATAACATTACTAAGTTGAGGACTCTTGCAAATAGAAACTCAACTTTCAGCTAAAACTCACTTCCGAGCAAATTGAAGATTTTTTTTTTCAGATTAATTAGGTACATTATATCAGTTGAGATGTTTTGTTTTTTTATGAAATAAGAAGCAAATAGAAGATAAAATGGACCTTTGAGTTACTTGATTTCTAATTTCTTACGAGGTTCAGGATGGCTTTTTTTCATGAGAATTAGACAACACGTTTAGAAGAAGCAACATCTATTTGTATTCTTTGATGGGTGGGAGTGACACTCGCAAATTAACTATTCATGTTTAATGGTGAGAGAGTCCAAAAAGATGACAATCCTAAAGTAACATAGTGTTTTTAATGGTTTTAATCATGGTTGTCAAAATCGCGATCCTGATCGTAGGATCATACGATCCTACTTATGAAAAACGATCCGGGTCGTAAAAGGATCGTATTTGGAGTATGATCGCAGGTAGGATCGTAAGATCGTAGGTAGGATCGTAGGATCGAGATCCGATCCGATCCTACCTTCCTTGATTTTTTTTATTTTTTTTGCAAATGAATTTTTTTTACCATGTTATGTCTTTTACACTTACCAATCTACCATTTATCATTTTTTATTGTAACTTATGATTAATATTTTGAAGTTTTTATAACTTTTGAACGAAAAATAAATGTTTGAAATATTTTTCATGATTAAATATTATAAACTATTTTTTTTTTTTTTATAAATGGAAATTCCCTAACGAGGGTTGCCGGGCCAGCTTTCGCGTACCGGCTAATCCCCCGCTCCAAACATAAAGCTTTGGCTCATGCCCTGGAGTCACTGCAGACAAACCTCCATGGCCACAAGGGTTGAGTGGTGCCAGGATTTGAACATGGGTCAATAGGTTATCCACCATATCTTCCATATATTCTATTTTGTGGGATCTTAGGGTCTCGATCCCGATCTTACGATCCCGATCTTACGATCCCGATTTTGCAAACCCAAAAACGATCCTAGATAGGATCCCGATCTTGATAACCTTGGTTTTAATTAATATTGTGTAATTCAAGAAAAAAATGCAAAAAAAAATGTTTTCTTGGGTGGCAGTAGTTTCATTTCTACAAATTTAGATCATTTTAGGAGGGTTTCTTTGTAAATATCCATGTCCAAATAACATTTTAAAAACAAAGAGGGGTGGAAAATACATTTTTCAAAATAGAGGAGTAAAAATATATATATATATATATATATATATATATATATATATATATATATATATATATATATATATATATATATATATATATATATATATATATATATATATATATAGACACACACTACATGGACGGGGATAAATACGAAAATCTAGACAAAGAATGGGTAAAAATAACATCTTATAAAGTTGAAGACCGAGGAGTGAAATTAATATTTTAAAAAGTAGTAAAAGAATAAAAAATATCATTTCAAAACAGAATGATTGTATATGATAGATTATATTAAATTAAGGGATTAAAATTGCATTTTGTAAACATTTAATTAATTTATTTTATATTAAATAATATTTCATTTATGAAATATTAACTTTATAATAATTATAACAATTTTCAATATTTTTTTATTTTATAACTATAAACATCATATAATCACATTTCAAAACTTCAAAAAAAAAAAAAAAAAAAAAAAAAAAAAAAAATCCAGATCCGGAGAGAGCTGTATTTATTGTTTTAATTGATTATAGAAGTTAGTCTATAAGTAGGGATTGTTTGCACTTCAAAGAAAATAACTCGTCATCTACTTGTAAATATTTTTACGTATATTCACATTATCTCATACTTTCTAATTTTAACTTCCTATATAATCAAAGAAAAAAGAATTCTATCACAACACCGATGAACAATTTGTGTCATCAAAAATATTGTGCAATGAGATTAAAACAAAATATATATTGTAGATTTTGACCTACATTTTCAAATGCTCCTTCTATTCACCACCTACATGATGGGTCTTTGAAATCGTCCAGCAGGCAGTATTTATTATTTTAAATAACTTATTACTTTTGACATTATTATCTTTTATCTATTTAAAATATTCTATGCAACCATGTATTCAAACTTTTTTTTTTTTTTACACAAATCATATTTGAATACGAAATGATTCTAAAAGATATACCACCGGGTATTAAGATTAAATAATTAAATACCTTACAATGCGTCATATATTAACAAAAATTTGATACAATTGTTTAATTAGTGAAAAAAAAAATCAAAAATGAAATGGAATATTATTAAATTAAGGGGACTAAATGTACAAAACACAAATCAAAATAAGGCTTGATAAATATCAAGTGATCGAGAGAAATGAAAATAAGTCATGCTCCAAATTGCAAGAACATCTCGAACATTGTTGATATAAAATTGGCTATAAGATAACACCTCGTGTTTTGTTTTTTAGGGTTCTTGATTATAATTATAAAACATGATACAAAAAGACCAAAAGTTCAACTTTTGACATGAAACATGTACATGTTTTAAGCCTTTGAACACGAGAAAGGAACCAAAAGGTAATTGTGTTATGATAAACCACCAACTTACTCTTCTTCTTGAAACACCTCAGAGCTTTGTTTACATTCAGTGGCATCACATAAAGCTTTCCATATGGGTACCAACATTTTCAAGGGTGGATGGAATTTCTGCATCATGCAAGTAAAAAAGGGGTAAAGTTGGATTAAAAGAAGTAGATAGCATTCCGATTGATAGATTATGATTATGAAAATTTGTTGCTATTTCTTGCATTTATCATTAATGGTTAATGAGAGTTATGAAGTAATTACCTTGAAAACTAAGGTAAGTTCATCTTGGTCACGTAGTAGGAGAGATAAGCACCACCAACAAGTAACTGGAGTAACATGTTCATTCAGCACCGGTTTAAGAATCTTGCTTACAGGAATAAAGCATCGCCTTATCTTTCCACTATACTCATACACAAAACAAAAAAATCAATGATGATGAGGGTATTTACGTCTTTTGCACGGACTAGAGATCCACTGTCCCACCTTTTTTGACCTTTATGGATGGGACAAAAGGTTGCAATTTGTCTCACCGACATCAGTCTCAATCATATGCAGTACAACTTGTTTTTTCATAAGTGAGTTTTTTTTATAGATGTTGGGATAAGTTGAGTACCTTCCATAATGAGTTTCAAGTTGGACTCCAAAAGAAGGCATGATTATCACGGACTCTGAAACCAAAAAAAAAAAATGTATTTCAAATTAATATTACACGATGTCTTTTATTTTATTTTTTAAGTTTTAACGGTTGATATATGTTTGAAAGGATACCTAATTTAATATGGTTGCAGGGATCTCACCTTTCACAATTGGTCTCCAAATAAACAATTTGACCAAGAGAAGACCAAAAAGTAGGCACCATAAAACAATCGTGACTGGTTTTCCCTGTAGATGAGGAAAAACCATTGTGATCGTTGTAAAGTAGAAGTATGAAATGTAAAGATACACAATCAATAACCCCATTTATCATATCAGTTTTTCATAAACACATACAACACAAAAACTCAACATATATGACTAGTAGATCACATTAGATTCAAAATTGGGAAGAAATTACAAGCACATATAGGACATGAAACTCAAAAAGTACGGTTACTAATTAGATAATTAATCATACCTGATCGAAATGGAGAAAGGCAGCATACGCTACGAGAAGTATCACAAAGAGGTATATGACAATTGGCTTCACAACACTTTTCTGAGCGACAATATGGTGGGTGTCAACGGCTTGGAGAGGAAGAAACTTGTGATAATCATGCACATATGTAAATCTTGCATTCGAAATTACAGAAGGCTCCACCATTTTAGAACCAAAATTGGAGATATCGTCTTTCCCCTGTAACGTTTTAATCACGATCAGCATATACATGATATAACCAAACCCTTTTGCAAACCCTAATTCGGTAAAATGTCCCATGGTACTAAATGAAAAAAATGACCATTTTACCTTGTGTAAATATCACTATAGCCCTATGAAGTTTCATGATTTGGTTTAAATGGTCCCTTTTGTTTTTTTTTTTGGCATTTAAGGGGAACAAAATGTAGTTTTACCGGCTAAAGTAGTCCAATGACCTGTTATAACAGGTTTCTTAGCCTAGTCACACTCCAAGTCATGTAATGAGTTCATTCGGAGTCGATTCGCCCTACACGTCACCGAGTTGAGTCGAATCGGTTGCTTGGTCCCTAAGGGTCATTGTGGTCCCAATATATATAAAAGGGAGGGTTTAATAAAACAAACCCTAATACATTATACCTATTTTCGGCCAAACAATTACCGATAAGGAGACAATCCCTTTCACGAGATGGCTACCCCACCACCGTCACCAGATTCGATCTCATTAAATTCTCGAGACCGGATGAACTTCAATGACATACGCACAATTTTTTGCGATTGTGGGGAGAGAATGGCAGAAACACAGGTTTTTGTGTTTTCCAGTTAACATTTTCATTATAGGTTGTCACTTCCTCAACATTTGTGTCATTGGCATCCATAAGAAAATATACCTCCTCATCAGGAGGACTTAATGAGATTGACTGCACTTTGGAGCATAGCTTGCTCAAAAAAACATCATTTATGGTCTTATTCATAGGAGTGGAATCAAGATCATCATGTACATTACCTTGCAAGTCATCAATCTCGTTCTAAAAAGGTCCCAGGTTATGCAAGTCCTCGTTATTCCCCCCTACACCCGACATCTTATCTTCAGGAGGACTGCAAACTTCAGCTTCATCATCCAGTATCCATTGACGGACATTAGAACCAAGATGATCCATGTAAGCTTGGATTACACATCCGCTGTCGTACCCAACTTATATGAACTCTTGGTAATCTTTCTCGATGGCTATTATCCTCAATCCTTCAGGAAACTCTATATCTGGCATGCAAAAATATACATTCACACATTCTTCGTTCGCGAATCTTTGAATGAACAGTAGAAATTCTTTAACATCCATTCCTGCAAAATCGACATCTTCAAAGCGTTGCTCGGCTCCATCTGAGTAACTTATTGCAGGATACCTAGTAAAAATGCCAGCAAAATGAAGATCTATCTTCATATACACGACCATGGTATCGATTAGGAGAGAAAAGGTAGAAGAAGAAAGGGGAAGAAGATAATGATGGGTGAATGACTTATTTACAAAAGGGTTAACTAGGTCAAAACCTCATTTATTGATGTGGCAATGAATCTTTCGACGTGTCAATAATTAACATGAGGTGTCTTAAAAAAAATGCTTAGTAGGATGGGGTTAACCGGCTTACCCCTTCTTTTTCTATAGAATGGCTTGAAGAGTCAGCAAAACTACATTTTGTTCCCCTTAAATGCCAAAAAAAAAAAAACAAAAGGGACCATTTAAACCAAATCATGGAACTTCATAGGGCGACAGTGACATTTACCCTTTTACCTTTATATGTTGTTTTTTTTGGCTAAATTCAGCTTTAATGTTTAGAAATCAACCGAATCAACTTCTTACATTTAAACCTATTATATTATGTAATCCAAGAGATGACATGTTACAAAATATTCTAATATGCTTCTAGTTCAATTTCCGCATGCTTCTATGTGAATTTTAATAGTCTCATTTTCCATTTCATGGTTAAACTTTATATAAAAAAGGGTGTTGGCATAGTTACAAGTCAAAAAGTTTCAACAAAGAAACAATAAAAAAAACAATTTCTGAATTTCCCTTCAATTATAAATGTATATAGTAAAATAATATCATAAACATACAGAGAAAAAACTAAACTGGGCTATGAACAAAATCTAAATTGGCATAAGACTCTTCTTGATCAACATTTTCCAACAATCATATACTTGTCTTTATCTACCATTATATATATTTAAGCTACAGATTTTTAGAGCATTCCAAGTGTAATGAATAACAAAGAGCTTTACAATAAGGATCAAGAACAAACATCACTTACCACTACCTGCTGCATTCAAAACTTTTCAGCAAAAGCTTTGATCTGCCAATGAAAATGCCATGGGCGTAAAATTAGCTTCATGTGGCAACTGCAATGAAGATTCCAATGGAAACATGAAACTAGTGTTTGTTGTTTGAATAACAAGAACAACCCAACTGCAAATTAACTTCATATGCCAATCATCAGATTGGCATGATCACCAATCATGATTTATTACAACAAAGAGCAAAAAGCTTTTTTAAAAGAAAAAAAGAATTTGGTTTTTACTTTTTAATTATGCTCTGATAAACACCTAAAATCCTGTCAATTTTCACTTATTCCCCAAAATATCCTTTCTGTGTTAACCATAATTTCTTTACTTCAATCCATAATAAATATGATGTTAATGAATGCCTGGTATGAAATCTTCTCCACTAATAGACACCGCCCGTTCAAGATATAGCATCATACTTTCATTTAGTGAATCCATAACATGTTAATAATCGATTTCACAGATTTTTCGGAATTCATAATAACAACACTTCAGAAAAACAACAAATCAAAAGAAAAAAAATACTTCATATGTTGTTGTTGGAAAGTAGAAAAACAAGACAAACAACACAAATCAAGACTTCAATGCAATGTTTTTCACATATTTCAGCAACATCTCACAATAAAAACTAAGAGAAACAAGAAATCAGCAAGATTTTCAGAAAAATCCAAGAGAAAACAAAACGAAACAAGATTTCACAGCAAAAACGAAGGAAAAAACGAAACCCGCGATTGAATAAAACTATACACCATCTGATTTCAGAAAAAATAAAAGAAAAAATTCACCGAATTCAGGGAAACATAAACTTGCAAAAATCATCAGTAACAGAAAACGATAGTACATCTGAGTAATCACTGATTTTAGAAGTTATTTGTGTGTGTGCTTCGATGAGAATAAAGATCAGGAAGGCGTGATATTACCTGTAGACGTCGTTGTAGAAGTCGTCGGAGGTGCTGTGGCGTAGCAGTCGGAGGTGGAGCCGGAGGTGCTGTGGCGTAGCAGTCGGAGCTGGAGGCGGAGAGGAGGCCGACGACTGCGACGGCGGGGAGGGAACACAACTTCGACAGATCGATGGAGGTTTGTGTGTGCGCCTTGATGAGAATAAAGGCTCTTTGATGAGAAGAAAGGTAATTGGAGGCGTGATTTTGAGAGAAAAAAAAATGGACAAAATTACAAAAATATCCTTTGGTCCGCAAATTTGTATGTTTTTGGTAAAAAAAACCATGGTTCAAAATTGGTTTTTTCTATTGGTATTGTCAAATAAAAAAACTATTATATATATATATATATATATATATATATATATATATATTAATTCAAATGTTTTTCATTAATTAAAATTTAGAAAAAGATCTCTCTCTCATGAGATCATCTTATGAACACAAACACATTATCAAGAACATCGTATCTTCAAGAACACATACATACATCAGATTTTCTAGGAATCTGAACTTTTCTGAAAACACATTGAAACATTAGAATTTTTGGGCTTCTTTAGATAAAACATAGAGGGAAAGAGAGAAGAGAAAAAAAAACGAAGAATGAGAGACGAGGACAATCATAGGGGTGGTTTCTAGGTTCTTGAATTTGATACATTTATTTTCTTAATGTTGTATGTATATGTGTTTAAGAAGATGATGTTAAAAAAACACAGATAAAGATTTAGTTAAATGAGAGAGAGAGAGAGAGAGAGATTCGTAGATTTTCTTTTTGATTTTTAAGTAAGAGAGAATTTCATATATGTCCCTCTTAAACTTCAAAATATCATATTTGCCCAGTTTAATTTCTCAATATCATATTTATCCTTCATAAACCTTCAAAATATCATATTTACCCAAATCCATTTTTATAATGTTTTTAATATTTTATAATCATTTTTATACCTTATAATTATTATAATAATTAAGAAATTTAACCATATTATCCTTACGTCTATGATAATGGAATATGAACTTCTAAATTTTTGGAATGTCGACCTCTTAACAAATTAAAAGATTCATCTTCAACATTTTCTATGGAATGTATATTTTGATTGTTTAGTTTTTGTTGTTGTTGATTATTATCATGTTGTATATTGAGGATATTTTAGATATTACCATTGATATTTTGATGTTTAAAAAGTACATATATATGATTTTTTGATATTTAAGAATGACATATATGATATTTTGATGTTTAATATATATATATATATATATATATATATATATATATATATATATATATATATATATATATATATATATATATATATATATGTGATATTTTGAAGTTTTATGAAAGGTAAATATGATATTTAGAAATTTAGTTGGGTAAATATGATATTTTAATGTTTAAAAATGATATATATATATATATATATATATATATATATGAAATTTTCCCTAATAATAAAAATATACAAAAACTAAACCTTCCTTTGTGAGAGAGTGATATTGTAGCTAATAGTAACACTCTCGAAGCACAATGTACGACTAGTCAAAGCTAAGTTGCAACTTTAATCCTTTCTATTTGAATAATTTGTGACTTACATCCTCTATTTTGTAAAATGATATTTTCGACCCTTTTATTTTTTAAAATATCATTTACCCTTCCGTCTTCAACTTTGTAAATTATCATTTTTATCCCTTTATTTTCTAAACTTTCGTGTTTACCCACCATCCTCATACTATATGATTTCCCCTCGTATACTTTACTAATACACAACAAAAAACACGTAAAAACTCACGGCAAAGCACGAGCTCAAAATTTAAATAATAGTTTTGTTTAAAACTATAAGACTATACACCAACAAATGAAAAAAGAAAATTTTGTAGCCTAACATGTTTGATTTTTTATTTATTTCCGGTCAAGATTAGAAACTCTTGTACTTCTAAATACCTGACACTAGAGTTAAACAAATTAGTGACTAGTGACGCCTCTATCCATTCCATATATAAAGGGTTGTGCTATAAGTACTTTCCTTTTTTACATTTACCCTCTAATGTCAATCAAATCAAGTTATTGACATTTGATTTGACATGTTTTTTTTTATCTTTTTTGAATCATATATATATATATATATATATATATATATATATATATATATATATATATATATATATATATATATATATATATAGTGAGAGAGAGAGTTAGGTTTATATATAAACCTTAATTATTGTGGATACGTGAACCAATGAGAATTTAGAAAAATAGTAAATGATTAATAAAAGAAATAAAAGTTAATTTTGGAAGTTTACATATAATTATTTTACTAACCAAAAAATGAAATCATATATTTTCTATATATATATATATATATATATATATATATATATATATATATATATATATATATATATATATAGAGAGAGAGAGAGAGAGAGAGAGAGAGAGTTAGGTTCATATATAAACCTTAATTATTGTGGATGTGTGAACCAATGAGAATTTAGAAAAATAGTAAATGATTAATAAAACAAATAAAAGTTAATTTTGGAAGTTTACATATAATTATTTTATTAACCAAAAAATGAAGTCATGTATTTCCCTTAAATAATGGTTTCGGTTACAAACTTTATATCTTTATCCGCTTTTTGAATTTGATGATTTTGATTCCAAAAATTCAACCCAGACCAAAATTTTCCAAAGCAAAAGTTGCAGGTAAAAAAAGAAAGACTATGTGAGAACAATTATTCTTCAAGAATGAAAATTTAGTTGTGATATGGAAAACGGGTAAATCAATCTCCAAAAAAAGTGTCCTGAAAACTTAAATTTCAAAACAATTAATTTGTATTCTTAAAGAATGCACACATTTAATATACAAATCAACAAAAAAAATATGAAAGTGTTCTTATAGAATTTTCAATATGCAGAATTTATTATATCATATTCTTAAAGAATGCACGTACAATGCTTTATTGTATTTTTCTTTACAAATGTATTCTTTTATTTTTCAAAATCTTATATTATTCTTCTAGAATTTGTCCAATTGTATTTAACATTTTAGTCTTCACGAAAGTTTTTTTTTTTTTTTGAAGAATGTAACTATTATTTTTAAAGAATAAGATATATGAACTTATTATTTATTCTTTCAGAATGAGAATGATAAGAATAAAGTTGAATTACATCATTCGAGACGTTCAAATCGATCTTTAATAAAAACATATTTTTTCATAATGATAATGATAATAATAGAAACTGAATTTTCAAACCATTTAAAAATATTAATTTGTATTTTTTCAAATTTAGTTTTTTAGTAAGTAATGTGACTTCGTTGCCTAAAATATTTGTAATTTTCATTTATTTCTCTTAATAAAATATCTTAGTTTTCTCTACAATTAATTAAGGGTAATTATATAATAATTGTTGGTCCATGTTAATACCATGTTCCTTATAATCACATTTATTCATTATTTTTAATCTAATGGTTATACTTTTGTCACACATTCACATAATAATTGTGATTCATATTTAATCCTATATATATATATATATATATATATATATATATATATATATATATATATATATATATAATAATAATAATAATAATAATAATAATAATAATAATAATAATAATAATAATAATAATAAGCTAACCACTTGGAATGATTTTAAAAAGTTTTTTTTTTCTTTTTTTATCCGTAATTAATAGGGACAAACTTTGCTTTTGTTCTGATTTTATATAGTCGTTCGAATTTATAATGTCCGATTTATAAAATATCGTTCAAATTTTAAAAACTGGTTTTATATAGCCGTTTGGATTTATAATGTCGTCCGAATTTTAAAATTTTATGCAAAATTTATAATAATAATAATAATAAACAAAAAAATGTCGTCCGAATTTAAAAATAATAATAATAATAATAATATAAATTAAAAAAAATTAAAAACAACTAAAAGACAAAATAGGAAAAAAAAACAAAAAAAACAACAAAAAGACAAAAGATCAAATTAGGGGTGAGATTGGAAAAAGATGAAGGGTACTTATAGAAAAACCCTA